AGGTAAATCAATCCAAATTCACAGGGTACACCAACAAAAGGATTACACAACTCACAACTTTCTCGAAATCAGAGATAACTTACAAAATGATTCCATGGAAGCAACACAAAATGCCTTATTATGAGTTGGAGCTATCTAGCCTTTTTCATTCAGCAGCCACAGGGCAAGCACTGGCTGGACAATTAACCAATTCATTGGGTAGGCTTTCCTCTCATTCCTAATCTTAACCAGAGGAATTATGAAATGGTGGTTAAAAATAAGCATTTGGCACATAAGAATCAACTAGGATCCATAGGTTCAATTTGTTGGCGTGTTCCAGTCTGGGTTTTCTGACCAAACAAGACAAGCTTTCTGAACCCTTTTGTAGCTTTTGGAGAATTTTCATCACTATTCCATTTCTTCCGGGAGTGGATTGGTTCTGGGGCCATTTTATCATTTGGGGTGTTGTAGACATTTCTACAATAGAAAATTCACAATCTATTGAAACTAAGAAAGTTTTGCAATTTCAAGTTAATAAACAATTAATGAATCTAGCAAAGAAAAAATTGAATGAACCAACATAGCATGCTATGTTAATTGTAATTTATATATATTTATCTGTCAAATGATTTTGTAGTTCCTTTCTTCTTCATAGAAGAAACAAATCAAGAACAAACTCAGCCACATGATGATATGCACAGATAATTATATATAGTACTCCATGTTCTGTTTCAACCATGTTTCTGAACCAACCAACATAGAAAAAATCGAAATGAGCAAATATTGGAAAAGGATGTCTGAGTGCAGAAAAAGCTACAGTCAATGTCAAATATTTATTTTAATAAAACACTGTCGTGTTCATCAAGCACACTAATTATTCCCACATAAAGTGCTACTACTATGGGAGAAATACAATGCTCCCGGTACAACCCCTTTGTTTGGTAATTACTGGACAAGGAATCACTTGGGTTGCAAGGTAGTCGAGACAAGTGTAAATCTCAAACAATTGCAAATTCGTGTTGTTAAGAGCATAGCATGAAATGTAAATGCTATTTCCCACTCCAGTGAACTGAGTAAGAGCATTTTCGAAATCAAGCTTGTTATATGATACATCAGAGTGCGCTACTATGTTGGCATTGCTTAGGATGCTGAGCAAGTCAATCCTATTTCTTTCTTGGATTACACTCAAAAAGTAATCCATTTTCGTCATTCTGGACAAACAACAAATCCCATGTTTGTCCCACTGATTCTGCCATAGCTGTGAATCTCTTTTGCCAATAATAATGTTCGGCCATGCCCTGGCCTTAATAATAATCAATCAAATCAAATCAAATTTGCAACACTTGGAGAAATGAAGCACAACAACAATTTTAATTTAATTTAGAAAGGATTTTATTTCCTCGGCTCCAATATAATAATCCTAACGTATTTTGCCACAATTCAACACTGAGTTCACGATTCTTGTAGCTGGCCAAAGGCCATGAAGGGTGAAGTTTGGTGCCAAATTCGGAAAACAACCACTGTATTTCTTGCAAAAGGTCGGTATCCAAGCTTGGACAAATAGGAACTGATTATAAGTTCTTTGGCAAGTAACTGGGTCGGGCATCCAGAACAAGCCCAAAAGAAACACTAGGTTGATCAACTTCACTTTTCCACACTACGTACCCAACACAAGATTTTTGAGATTTCTTTATATTAATCCATTCATATTTATAATGGTGGTGCATGGTGGTAGTGGGTACGGGAATTAATTCGAAGTGGTTGGAAGTGCTTCTTTCATGTATTAGTACAACTCGTATCATTGTCATGCCCTTAGTTGCACGAAGCGGGAGCGGGAGCGGGGGCGGGAGCGGGAGCGGGGAAGCGTGAGCCGATAGAAGTTTCTTAGGTTGGGAGCGCCTCGGGGAGCGGTACTATATCATTAGAATTTTTTTTATAAATATTTTTATTTTAATACACATTAATTATTTTTTTATTTATTATATTTTTAAATAATGTGTTATTGTTAATTTTTTTTTTATTTTACATATATTTGTTTGTGTTTTTTTATTAATATGTATAATATATACTCATATATATATATATTTTATATTTATATGTATAAATATGATATATATTAAATAATAATGTGTTAATATATTTTTTTTATTTTTAAATATATATATTAATATATATAATCATATAATATATTATATATATTATTTATATATTACTTAGAATCATATATATAATCATATATTATATATATTATTAATATATATGATATATATTATATATGTTTTATATATTATATATGTTTTATCTTATTTATATATTAGTATATTACTTAGAATCAGATAACGGTGGCCAGAGAGAGAGTGAGAGACGAACTGCGAGAAGGCAAAAGACGAAGGAGACGATGACGATCGACAAGAAGGAGCAGATCTGCGAGATCGAGAGAGAGAGGCGAACTGCGAGAGACGATCTGCCAGAGAGACGATCTGCCAGACACGATCTGCGAGAGCGAGAGAGAGAGACAATCTGCCAGAGAGAGAGAAGAAAAACGAAGCGAAGAAGCAGGACATACCCAGACGACTTTCAGGTTCTTCACCTTCTTTCTCCTCTTTCTCTCAGTTAGGGTTTTTGTTTATAGCCACCAACGATCCTATCTAGGACAGGATCGCGTTTCTCTCTCTACAGAAACGCGATTCTTACACGTTTCTTTCTAAGAAACGCGGAATCGCGTTTCTCACGGAGATTCGTCACCTGATTGCGCGATTCCTGCAACTAAGGTCATGCCTCCAATATGAAAAATCGTCTATGATAAAAGTCATCCATAAAATGTGTGTGTGAAAGAGAGAGAGAGCGAGAGAATTGAAGTGTAGAAATTAGAAGGAATTATAGCACAATGGCACGCCAATAAAAAAATTACAAAATCATGTGGGGTGCAAGTGATTCTATAATGGGTGCAAGTTAAAAGCTGTAGAGATGCAAGTGTGACTTGCACCCCTCCATGTTTGTGAAAAATGAATTTCTTGTCCCACGGGGATGTAATTCCTCCTAAAAATTATAGTCTTAGGCCCCGTTTGTTTTGGGGTGTAATAGATGGGAGGGGATTTGGATGGAGGTTGGATTATTTAGTGTTGTGTTTGTTTGTAGAGTTGGGGAAGGGATTAGGATGAAGAAAAGGGATTAAGATGGAAGTTGGAAAGAGGATTGGGATGTGGAGGAGGTAGAAGTGATATTAGAAAAATAATGAGGGGATTAGAAATTTTTTTATTTTTTACATATTGAGAATTTTTTTATAAACATTAATGTTTAATTTTTTATATTTTTTTAATTGTTTTATTATTTTATATAAAAATAATTTAACAATTCCTACACTAACAACTATCATCAAAACAAATACAATTTTACTTAATTCCCTCACTATTAATTCTCTCACTATGAATCCCCTCCATTCTACCTCTGAAAACAAACGAGGCCATAAGGCATTTCGATAGACTTTGATAGTGACTATTCATAAAATTAACAAATCGATGTTATAGTTTGTTTTATAAAAGAAACCTTTCCTAAGGAGAAGTGACAATTAGAATGTTTCAAAATTCCAATATTTCCAATATGTTCATGCAATTATATGCTAACAGTGAGGTGTGTAATTCTCATACTCATGGAGGTCACAACCTAGGCACTATTCATTTTAGGAAAAGAATTTATATCTATACTTTGTTAGAATATATCATCACCTACCACCTCCACTCAACTCACCTACCACACACACTCACCTACTCCCCAATCGTCTCCTATATAATTAGTACCTCACCATCTTGTAAAAAATATCAATACATCAATCTTGTATCTATCAATCAATAAATCAATAATACATAAATTCTTACATACTTATCATCCACAAATTTAAACTTTCTATTTATTATTTTTTATTTCCTTTGCCTTCTCTTTCTTTTCCATTTTCCTCTTCAAACCACATAAAGAAAGAGTTATTAAATGCACTTCAAGATCAGTCCACACCAATCACCAATTGAAATCTCTCATATTGTCTTTCCAAATATTGCACAAACAAAAGTTATACATCAATCACATTCAAGACTTTAAAATAGCAAGCAATGACCACCACTTCTCCAGATGAAGAGGTAAGTTTGCAAACAGTGTGTTTTAAAGATCCTGACTGACACCATATTTCAAATGCAAAGAACATCTTCAACCGAAAGAGGGTAGCAGTAAGGCTTCATAAAGAATGTTGGAGATGACTTTATTCTCACAATTCAATGTGTTGGACCCCTCTACTCTACTGACCTCCTCCTAATTCTCTTTAAGGTGATGACTTCATTCTCACAATTCAATGTGTTGGACCCCTTTACTCTACTGACCTCCTTCTAATTCTGTAAAGATTAACCTTAAATTCTTTCATTTCAAATTTCTTACTTGTCTAAATGAAACCAAAGTTAATGAGAAGCAGTTGGGGTAGCTTACGATATTAAATGCTATATATCATCATAAAATTTGGCAATCCCATATCGATTGAAAATTAGGGTTTTTTTTTTTTTTTTTTGTGTGCGTGTGGAAATGCTCAAGTTATTCTCCTATATATATATATATATATATATATTTTGAATCCTCAAAAAAGTACAACAAACAGTGAGGGTTATTATACGGAGATGTGGACTAATGTCATTGATTTTTATGAATGAATTAAGTTGGAATAGAAGTAATATTTTGTATGTCCTTAATTAAAACTAGACTTTATTTCTTGGTTTTGAATTTTCACAGTGTAAAGTCAGATTACTTATGCAGTGTTTGAATTTTAAATTTGTGAACGATAAGTATAGATATAAATTCTTTTCCTAAAATGAATAGTGCCTAGGTTGTGACCTCCATGAGTATGAGAATTACACACCTCACTGTTAGCATATAATTGCATGAACATATTGGAAAAAAAAAACTAATTAATAAATATATATATATATATATTCTGAAATAATAGAAAAAAAAAATAGAAGACCGAAGTCGAAGACGGAGGAGAAGACCAGAAGAAGACTCAGAGAGAGAGAGAGAGAGGAGACCTCGACAGACACAGAGAGAGAAACATCGACTGGCGAAGACCAGAAGAAGAAGGAAGAAGATCGAAGCTGAGGAAGGAAGAAGAAGGTGTACCTTACGACGACGAGCGACGGCTGAGGAGCGACGACGAGCGACGACCGATGACGAGCGACGGACGAGCGACTGACGAGCGACCAGGTTGTCTTTCTCCTCTGTTATCTGTCTTCTCTCTTTCTCTTTTTGTTCTCTACTAACCTCTTAGATCGATTTAGGGCTTTTGATTTAGGGCAAACAGAATTTTTTTTGCTTTTTTACAGATTGACCCCAAAAATATTTTATAAATTCTGAAATTGACCCTAAAAATGTTTTGTAAATTCTGAAATTGGCCCCGTGCGTGTCCGAAAGTGTCCATAACGTGTCCTGGACGTGTCCGGCTTCAGAAAAAATAAAAAAAAAAATTGGACACTCTCTAGTGCGTGTCGGACACGTGTCCGCCGCGTGTCCGACGCGTGTCCGTGTCCGACACGTGTCCGACACTGGTACGGAGCCCTCGGAGAGGTGTCCGTGCTTCATAGAGTGAGGGTTATTATACGGAGATGTGGACTAATGTCATTGATTTTTATTCTATGAATGAATTAAGTTGGAATAGAAGTAATATTTTGTATGTCCTTAATTAAAACTAGACTTTATTTCTTGGTTTTGAATTTTCACAGTGTAAAGTCAGATTACTTATGCAGTGTTTGAATTTTAAATTTGTGGACGACAAGTATAGATATAAATTCTTTTCCTAAAATAAAAAGTGTCTAAGTTGTGACCTCCATGAATATGAGAATTACATGCCTCACTGTTAGCATATAATTACATGAACATATTGGAAATATGAGAATTTTGAAACTTTCTAATTGTTACTTCTCACGAAATATATCTTTTATAAACAAACTATAGCATTAATTTGTTAATTTTACGAATAGTCACTATCAAAGTCTATCGAAATGCCTTAGTACTCTATAATTTCTAGGGGGAATTACATTCTAGTGGGATAGAAAAAATTTTATCACACAAATATGGAGGGATGCAAGTCACACTTGCAAGAATTACTTGCACCCCCCACATGTTTTTGTAATTTTTTTCTCTGTGCCCCAATATACTATAATTCCTCTCTCTCTCTCTCTCACTCACATTTTATGGATAACTTTCATCATAGATGATTCTTCATATTGGAGGCATGATAGTGATATGAGTGGTACTAATACATGAAAGAAGCACTCCCAACCACTTCGAATTAATTCCCGTACCCACCACCTCCTGCACCACCATTATAAATATGAATGGATTTATATAAAGAAATCTCAAAAATCTTGTGTTGGGTACGTAATGTGGAAAAATGAAGTTGATCAACCTATTGTTTCTTTTGGGCTTGCTCTGGATGCCCGACCTAGTTACTTGCCAAAGAACTTACAATCAGTTCCAACTTGTCCAAGCTTGGATACTGACCTTTTGCAAGAAATACAGTGGTTGTTTTCCAAATTTGGCGCCAAACTTCACCACCCTTCATGGCCTTTGGCCAGCTACAAGAACCAAGAACTCAATGTTGCATTGTGGCACAAGGCGTCAGGATAATAATATTGGAACATCCAAATCGGAAGAAGAAAAGAAAGAAGGTTTCTTTTGGGCTTGCTCTGGATGCCCGACCTAGTTACTTGCCAAAGAACTTACAATCAGTTCCAACTTGTCCAAGCTTGGATATTGACCTTTTGCAAGAAATACAGTGGTTGTTTTCCAAATTTGGCGCCAAACTTCACCAGCCTTCATGGCCTTTGGCCAGCTACAAGAACCAAGAACTCAATGTTGCATTGTGGCACAAGGCGTCAGGATAATAATATCGGAACATCCAAATCGGAAGAAGAAAAGAAAGAAGAGAAGCAGACACAAAGAAGAAGAAGCTAACAAAGAGGAGAAGAAAATATAGGAAAAGAAACTGCAGATATGCAAAAACCTCAAGGGGTTGGCCTAGTGGCACAACTTGGGACCTGGGGATGTGCTCCTTCCAGGTCTCAATTTCACTACTCACTAGTTACAATAAGCTCTTCGAGGCCAATCCATATAGGGCGCTCACTCTGGCTTTAAATGGAGCCCCCACAAGTGGGCGGTGGGATTGGTCCACCGGGATTAGTCGAGGTGCACTTAAGCTGGCCCGGATACACAGTTATAAAAAAAAAGGGGATAGAGATGCAGAGATGAGACGGGAAAATAGAGGGAAAGGAGAGAACCAGCCATCAGGGATTTTTTTCTCTTCAATCAACTGTCCCTGAAATAATAAAAGGGTTTTGTTCATATAGGGAGTATACACCCTAATTCCACTAGCTTAGGTGTTGTCACCAATCCAGAGAGTGATAGTCTAAAACATAATCCCATTAAATTTACTCCAACCCAAATATAATAAATAACTGAATAAAAGAAAATAAATCTTAAACTACCCCAAAACTTCATCAAGGTAGAATAAGAAATTACAATGATATTATCACATACTTTGTTTAGCGACTAATGCAACACTAGAAATTACACCAACAATATCCAAATATCTGGTCTATAGCATACCACTTTGAACCATGGCGCAAACACTTTCTTCTTTGTGTTTTAATGTTAAAGCGGGAATAATGTATTCTGACCAATGACCATATCATTCTCATTAAGTCGTAAAGATATGCAATAATTACTCGGGAAAATATTCGACCCCCAGGAAGCCCAGTCAAGCATCGCAAGGATCACAGTAAAGGTGTATAAGGCGTAACACATACAACCTTTAATGATCCTGAAGGCCATACTCTCTCAGAAGGAAAACCATATAGCATGTGAAAAGTAAAATAAACAATGCTTAGGATCATATATGATTTTACAGATATATATACAAAACAACCAACTTTTCTTATACAATGAAGCTCAGATAATTATATGGATAGATATGTAAAACAAGCTTTTAGGTGATCGTGCAGATATATATATATATATATGAAACAGATAACTCCACAATACCTACTAGATCAACATATCATTAAGCTGAACTGGGATTCAAATGTTGTTATGGGGGTTTACTGTAATTCCCCCTTAAAAAAATAAAAAATAAAAACGCAACCACTAAAAGGAAGGCAAAAATTACAACATAAAAGACAAGGTATCATGCGAGAGAAAAAATAAAGGAAGATTCATTAGTTAAAATGTAAGGACTTCAGCTAGTACTTATCAGTGACCAATATAACTATACAACCTAATGGAAGCACTTACATGTCATCATCTGGCCACCAAACCTTAACCTTTTTACCAATTAGGTTACTGTCATACTCTATAGCATCAGATGCCTGAAATGAAACAATAGACAACTTATCAGAATCGGTTCAAAAAGTACAAATGATAACAGAAATTGATTCAAGAAGTACACAAGAGTTAAACACCATAAAAACAACTAGAGCAAGTAATACTGATATCACACAAACCCAATTGTAGCATACGTCAGTCCACCAAAAATGAAACACAAACTCAAGCCCAAGCAAGTTCAGCAATAGCTCAATTTGACCTCTCTTTTTAAGCTTAGAATAAGATTCAGTTTTACAATGCAAGGCTGAGCTTTGTCCTGTTCAATCAGTTCAAGTGTGTTACGTGATCTTCCATCTCATGTCCATTGCCTCTTTCTCTCCCTCTATCCCCTTTATTGGTTCTCTCAAAGATTTTAAAGGGCTAAGCACTACATATCCCCAAAAATACTTTACTTTTCCTTCCCTAAATTAAAACTACGCATCAACTCCAACAAACAAAAACCTTACCTTTTCAAAGAAAGAAGAAAAATAAAGAACAGATAAAAATAGACGGGGCAAGAGCAAAGAGATGTTGATCTCATGCCCCAACATCATATCTTCACAGAGTCATTACCAATTATCATGATGACAATGTAGTTATGCAAAAACATTGCAACAAAAAATTAAAAAATAAATAAATGAAAGGTGATGGACTTCTGAAGAAGCTTTGTACAAGAATGGAGGACAGGTTAAAATACTTTTGATGAAAATAATGCCATGGTTATTTAAAAATTACAAGGCATTAACATAATTGTTGTTCTTTTTTTCCCCCATTGGGAGAGGGAGGTATAGGTGGTTTTACGAACAGCACGTTCCTACGCATTTAGAGTCATCAAGGCTAATCCCCATAGAGGCACATCACCCATGACCAAAAAACACAATCACTTTCTAAACTGCTAAATAGGATCCGGTCCAACTCCACCACACACAACAAACCACAGGCACCCACGCACCGACGAACTTACATGTGGGCAGCATATGAAAAGGAAAGGCCAAACACATCCCACATCAGGACCACACAGTGATTAATTGCACCATTGCACAAACAAAAAGAATTTTCATTGTTAAAGTGTAAAGGCAAACAGAGTCCAAGTAATCAGCCCTTCAGATTTTCTTACTACATTTTTTTTATTTTATTTTATTTTATTTTTTGAAGTTATGTCACTCTTTTACAGACGAAAGGAAGAAGAGACCAAAGTACCACAAAGAGAATAGTGAAAATCCTGATGATGTTGCATTCTTGCATATGAAATGACAAAACAGAATAAAATAAAATGCAATCTATGGGTGGGTGCACCACATGGTAGGCACTTTCCTAGAGCATGCATTAGATTTTATTATAATATAAACCAAAAATCAAAATATGCCGACTGATAGAAAATGAACCATGCCAATGGGGTTGAGAATACTTACTCTCTCTTTCCCAGGCGTACGCTTTCTCTTGGAATTCGTCTTGGGGGTTTCCTCTAAGTGGACTTCATCTTTATCTAATCTTGAGGCACGTTTTGGTGAAGAAACTGCTTCCTACAAAATGCATAAGAATATTTTTTTTAGATACTTGGTCAATGAAGACTCAAGGCATAAATAGAACAGCACAATGCCAAAGCACATCAAAAAGTACTTTGTCATCATCTTCCGTGGATGATTTTGTTAAATCCTTCACCAAAGTAGCTTTTCCACGTCCACGTCCTCGTACTCGTCCTCGCCCACGCCTTTTCCTATCTTCCTTCTTCTTTGATGAGGGCCCATCCACTATCTCATCTTTTGCATGTACCTTCCTAACACAATCTTTCAATGGTTTTGCCTCTGAATCACTTGTCCCACCTTCACTCTCGGAATTGTCCGTCAGAGCCAGAGTCTTCTCCTCAGTACTCCCAGCAGGAGCCTTTTTTCCAGAGTGTCTCTGGGTCTTCACTTCCAAATCACTTGTACCGGCAGATGCTTTCTTAGAAGCAACATTGGCAGATAGTGGACCTTCTTCAACCAAGTCTTTCTTCTTTGGTCGTCCAACCTTCTTTGGACTACCCTCATCAGGAACACTCCCACTTGGAGATGGGGAAGCCACATTCACTGGCTCACTCTCTATTGCTTTTGGTGAGGAAACCTGAACGTTCTCTTTGTCATTTTCTGACAGCACAGCCACCTCAACAGACAGCTCCTCAGAAGGTGAACTACGGACTTCCTTGCTACGACTTTTTCGACGGTCTGCCGTTCTTTCAGCCTCTTTATCGCTATCAACTCGAGAGGAGTCAGAAGGTTCTGTTGAATTGATTAAAGAGTTAGGTTTCTGTCCTCTTTCCTTGGATGTTTGTTCAGGCTTAGACTCTGATTTTACAATCTTCCCACTCTCTGAATCATCGGGTTCAGCACTGCTTGTTACATTAGTATCAACTGACTGATCAGCTTGGTGACCATGCTCTAGCTTCTTTAAAGGCTCTGGATCTGCCAATCTATCCTCATTCCCAGTTTCTGGAACACCATTACTCATAACTGACTTTGGAGATCCGTCCACAGCAGGATGATCACCTTCAGGACAAGTCTCTGTCACACTTTCTTTTGTCATTTGATCCTAGATTGATGACCTCCAAGCGATTAGTTGCAAGATTAAGGTTTTTTTTAACAAAGTTGCAAGATAAGGTTGGTCCACAAAACTTTATAAATTAACTCACAACTAGATATACAAATCAAAAAATACATAAAAATAATATAGACTATCAGGACATGCCTGGGCTGCCCCATCAGGAGATGCCACAGCCAACTTGTTCTCATCAGCCTGATGCAATTAGTACAAGAAGTGGCAATATCACATGTGCAATTAGTACAAGAACTGGCAATATCACATGTAAAAGCAGAACAAATAACAACTAGAAGTTAAGATGGATAAAACCTACAAGTATAAATTACAGAAAACAGATATAACTTGATGACATACCTGAGCTGCCCCCTCTGAAGATGCCCTAGCCAACTTGCTTTCCTCAATCTGAAGAAAACATTACAGCACAATGAATACCAAATCATGATTACATCTATGCTCACATATAAAAAAATAAAACCTTTTTTGCTGAGGCAATGACAATTTCAGTAAACATTATTAGCATCAAATGAAGACATTCACTATAGGTAGACAATATTATTTTAAAACGAGCACTACTTAAAATGAAAGAGATCTGAAATTCGTAGTGGATCTCCCTGAGGTTGCTGGACAGTAACCAAACCAAACCAAGCCTTAAGTCCCATCAAATGGGGTTGTCTACATGAATCCTTCTTCTCCACGCGGCCCTATCAAAGGCCATTTCGTTAGTCAAATTAAGTAGATCCATATCTCTATTTACAACGTTAGCCAACGTTAATCTAGGCCTACCCCGCCCCCTAACACTCCTCTCTACCATTACAGTATCACATCTCTTCACTACTGCCTCTGTTGGTCTCCGTTGAATGTGACCAAACCATCTCAATCAATTATCTCTCAACTTATCTTCTATCGGTGCTACTCCTATCCATTCCCGAATACACTTATTCCTAATTATGTCCTGTCTTGTCTAATCTTGCCACACATCCACCTTAGCATCCTCATCTCAGCCACGCACATCTTATCTATATGTTGTTTCTTGGTTGCCCAACACTCTGTCACATACAACATCGCTAGTCTAATAGCCATTCTATAGAACTTACCTTTTAGTCTAGTAGTTATTCGTTTATCGCACAATACCCCAAACGCACTTCTCCACTTACACCATCCCGCCTTAATCCTATGAGCCACATCCGCATCAATCTCCTCCGTTGTTGTGATAATCGACCCTAAATAATGAAAATGTTCATTCTTATGCAATTCTTGGTTCTCAATCTTCACTTCTCCTCTGCTTTCA